GTTTGAAAAAAATTTCCAACTCAAAAAGTGTGGTCCCAATCTCCTTGGAAATGTATCCACGCATCCCAATTAGAAGTAGTCATTGTAGAAGGACATGACAGTCATCAGTTTTGAGGCCAGATAATTTTCCACCATGAGGGGTGACACTGTTGGATATATTTGCTGCATAGCCATTAGGGTACTTAATCGATTTTAAGAAATCACAAAAACCTTGTCTCTCTACTAGGGACAATGTGTATGATGCCGGATGCTTCTTAAATGAGCCATTGGAATGCCTCTTCAAGTGTAACTCCTTTCATATCCGCATGTCTTTTAGATCCAAGCGTGCTTTATCTGTGTCCTTGTTCTTGCCATCAATGCTCAATAGTGTTCCAACCAGATTGTCACATATATTCTTCTCTATGTACATGACATCAGGTTGTGTTGAAGCTTCAACGTTTTCCAATAGGGTAGGTTAAACATAATGCTTCGTTTTGTCCAATTGGAAGGTGGATTATCATTCTGTTGTCTTTTTCGGCTGTTTGGATGCTTGCTATACGGCCTGTATGTCCCCAAATCAATTTGCTGCAGTATTTGTTCTCCCAATAACTCCATAGGTTTGGACCAATGCTCATTTTGACCATTGAAGAGCTTGTTTCTTCGCCAAATATGTTTCTCGGACAAGTAGCGGCGGGCACCCATATGCCCTATCTTACTTCACAAACACTGAGATGATACATCCATGTTACAATTAGGGCAAGCCAAGTAACCTTTTGTAGTCCAACCAGACATGGTACCATATACGGGGAAGTCATTGATGGTCCACATGACTGTTGCATGCATTTTAAATATTTGACCGTTTGAGACATCATATGTTTGCACACCATGCTACCACAAATTAATTAACTCCTCCACTAATGATTGCAAGTAAACATCGATGTCTTTTCCAGGGGCAGATGGATCAGGAATAAGTATTGACATCATCAGAAATGGCTATTTCATACACTTCCACGGGGGAAGATTGTAAGGTATTAAGAGTACGGGCCACATACTGTACGATTTGCTCAAACGGATTGAAACCATCTGTGGCAAGCCCTAACCTTACATGCTGGGGTTCCACAGAAAACGTAGGATGCTGCATATCAAAGTCCTTCCATGCCTGACCATTGGCTAGATGCCTTAAAATTCCATCATCCACACGCTTCTCTTTGTGCCATCTCATATCTACGACGGTTTTTTTCGACATGTATAATCTCTTCAACCTCAGTGTCAAAGGAAAGTACCTCAATATTTTGTGAGGAATCTTTCTACCACTCTCATTGTTGAACTTGTATCGAGACTCCTTACATGTAGGGCAATTCTCCAGCTTTGCGTTGTCCTTCCAAAACAAAATACAATCATTCTTGCATGCATGAATGGCCTCGTATCTCAAACCCAATTCACGTAAGAACTTTTCGCTTCATAAAGGGTTCATGGAAGAGTTTTATCACACTTTGGGAGAATGTCTTTGAAAACTTGCATAACCATATCGAAAAATTTGTTACTCCATTTATTGTATACCTTAATATGAAGCATCTTAATAACGAAGGACAAACACATAAAACTTTTCACATTTTTGGTACACTTTGCATCGAGCATCATCAAACAACCTAATGAACTTCACTAAATTTTCTCTCTTCGAGCTATTAGGTTCTTTGTCGATATGATCATCCATGAGGCCACTCATGTAAATCTCTTCCAACATAGTAGACAACTCACCCAAATTATCGTCAATGTCAAAAATTGTAGCTCCATATCTTTCACCACCATTGTTTGATACACTAGGGTGATCATGTCACAATGGAACATGTTCCCCGTGGTGCACCCAAGTTCTATAAGAACACGCGATTCCTCTTCAAATCAAGTGCAGCCATACAACTTGTCGACTATGTTTAGTGCCATTCAAGCAATCCACACACGGACAACGAATGTCATCATGTGGGCCTAAATCCTTCATAGCAAAGTCAATAAATGGCTTAACACCTTGTTGGTACTCTTTACTTTTCAACCTATCTTTTATCATCATCCAACTCTTGTCCATCTTTTGAACCCTACAAGTCAAGCAAAGATTAACGTAGGCATGGACGTCAAATAAACAAAAATACTCAACAATGGAATTGCGTATCAACAAAGAAAGGGCACAAGGTCCTCCACCTCTTCTATATCTATTGTCTTTGAAATCCTCAAAACTTGTGAAATGGGAGTTTTAGGATTTAGAAAAATATAAACATGAGGTGCAAACTCTCTAAAATAGATATTGATCCTTCTTGGATTTAGAAAAATATTATCGGCCTTTTTTAAAAGAAAAATAAATAATTCTAACAAAATAATTTGTAATTCTGAAATTATTGAGTCAATGCTCAAGAATATCAAATAACTTCTCTAAAAAAGAAGTGTCAGACCTCTTGCGACACAGTTGTTAATATGTGATTTTGTAATAATTGATGAAAGCATCAAATTTTATTGCTATCACTATGTACACAAATCTATGTCATTGTAAGGGAATTAAACAATCTAAAATTAGAGTTAGTAGGAACAAAAATTGGCCAAGTATTGAATTTAAATAATAATAAATAAATAAATAAAGAGGCTAAGTATGGAAGAGGGTCAATATGTGTAATATCTTTTTTTAGGTACATCAGAAAGTAGTCAAGATGTGTAATATCAAATGCACAACTCAAACAACTTGGGAGTATTGATAAGATGGAAAATGAGCAGATGAAGTGGTAAGTGAGTTGTCTAATAATAAATTTGATTCACATATTTTAAATTTTAAAATATAATTTTTTTTAGTACACAGGGCAGGCATAATCATATTTATTGAGACCTTTCATGGCAAGTCACCATATCTGGATTTATTTATTTATATTTTTAGTACAAAAAGGATATGCTAAATAAATTGCAATATGATTAACAAAAAGATGGCTTGTGAGGTGGGAGGCTGGAAACCAGTGATACGCAAGCACAGAGGTGAAGGGAATAAACATCAAAGGCTGGATTCAAGCATCCACACAGTTTTCGTTGATAATCTACCAAAGTCAATGGACCTAAAAGGGTTGTATACTTTGTTTACCCACTTCGGAGTGGTGCAGGATGTATTCATACCACATAAAAGAAGGAAGATGACGCCCTCTAGGTTTGGATTCGTGAGATATAATTGCACAGTCGCAGCAAGAATGGCAGTCCAGAAAGCAAATGGATTGTGGTGTGATAACAAAGCGTTGACAGTGAAAGTTGCAGAGTTTGTTCGACGTGTAGACGCACAGAAAAGGCCTCTACAGAGCTTAACTCAAAGAAAGGAAATGGGAGGTACGGGATCGGTATCATGGAAGCTAAAAGGTAAGGAATCTTTTGCCCAGGTTGTAAGTGGGAAAGGGTCTGCCGCTGGTGCTTCTTTAACTGTAAAAGTATATGAAGTAGGGAATGGATGGCTGTACAATAGTGCCATTGTGCGATTAAAATCGATGTGTTGTGGGGCAGATTTCAAAAAAGAATTGAGGTATAGAGGCTTCGAGGATATTGAGGTTCGAGAAGGAGGGGGTAGAGACATAGTTCTATCATTTCCATCGGTGGAAAGCATGCGAGAAAAACTCAAGCAAATGGAGGTTTGGGCTAAGGAATGGTCTGAATCAGTTACAGAATGGAAACAGGGGACGGCTATTGCACAAGAAAGAGATGTCTGGTTAAGCTATTATGGGGTGCCCTTAAATGTATGGAACAACAACACCTTTTATTCAATAGGCAGATTATGGGGGGAAGTGATTGGTTTGGCTGAGGATACGTCCAACATGGAAAACTTGATTTGCGACAAGGTAAGAATAGTCACGAAGTGCATGGAATCCATCAACGAAACAATCAATTTGGACTGCAAAGGGGTACTTTATCCGATAAAAGTTTGTGAAGATCAGATTGTTATGGCGAAGGTGGTGAATAAACACTGTATTTGTCATCATCAACATGGTAATAGTGCTAAACATAGTTCTTATGGGAATGAAGTTACCCAGATGGCAAGAGCAGAGAGTAAGAAGGAAGATGGTGATGATGACGTGGAGGCACAAGTTGGCGATGAGGTGGAGGACAATGGGGACACAACAGTAAGGATTAGTGTCCCTCTTTTGAACCCTACAAGTCAAGCAAAGATTAACGTAGGCATGGACGTCAAATAAACAAAAATACTCATGTCAACGGCATGGGGAAAGCAATTTCTGGGGGTGATGCGTGGGTAGGGAGGTAGCTCTGGTGATGAGTTCTATCAATGTTCAAAATGAGGTGAATAGGCTTATTGCTGATGATATCAGTAACCCAGGCCTCTTAAAAAGTTTAAGTGGATCGGAATTACTAAGGCCTGGGCTTAACATTGATGTTGTCTTGACTAAAGCCCATGAAGTGAACTGCGTGGAAACACAAACCCACAGAGCACCTGAACTTAGAACACTGGGGGCCCAATCCAACTTAGAAGATTCTATCCAACCTTATAGTGGTGAAGAATCACTAGACCGAAATGGAAGAGAGGTAAGCAGTGAGATATTGGGTTCTTCTGTAGAATCAATCCAAAAAAGAATAGCCAGGAAGAGGAAGCAAATACAAGAACCCTCTAGCAAGCATCATAAGAAAAAAGGTAGTCTCCAAAGGGGTAAATCAATGGCTGGAACTTCTCTAAATTTGAAGAAAGGTGCAGTGTTTAGGTCGGCGGTGGCAGCTCTCTCACTCTCAGAGGCACCTGAATCAAGCAATAGGAGACTGCTACTCACTGAGGCTGAAGCATCACTCCAAATTGGGTGCATCCTTGGTGTGAACTTTGAAGGGAATGATGATATAGTCCTTAACAAATTAATGGATTTGGAAGCACGTGACAAGGATAAAATAAGGAACAAGGGTGGGGATGCTTGTTAAGTAGCTACTCTAGGTGTTTAGGAGTTGAAAAATGTTATTTAATGAAGCTTTTATCTTGGAATGTAAGAGGGTTAGGAAGGCCTGAGAAAATGAGGAAGATTGAACAAGTGTTTTGTGAAAGAAAGGTTGATATGGTGCTACTACGAGAAACCAAGAGATCCACAATTGATGAAAAGTTTGTCAGATCAATCTGGGGAATAGAGCAAATGGATTTCATGGCAGTTGATTCAGCAGAAGTTGCTGGTGGACTCTTATGCATTTGGAACCCAGAAGTGTTTCAACTGGTGGACTGCTGCAGTAATATGAACTTCATAATTTTATCAGGTACTCTCTATAACAGCTTTGATTGTGTGATTTTAAATATTTATGTTCCAAATGATTTGGGGGTGAGAAAGGTGGTGTGGGATAGCTTGGTTCGATTAAAGTTGGTCTACAATAAACCTTGGTGCTTGGGAGGGGACTTCAATGAGATCAAGAATATATCAGAAAGGAAGGGGTGTTCTAGGCAAGATAAAGGTATGAAGGAGTTTAATGAGCTAATTGATAAACTTGAAGTGGCCGATCTACCTATGATGGGAAGAAATTTACCTGGTGCAATTCTCAAGAGGGGAAGAAATGGAGTAGAATTGACAGGTTCTTGCCTAATCCAGAATGGTTACAAATGTTTAATTTCAAGCTTTGGGGGCTGCCTCGGAAGGTCTCTGATCATTGTCCTATTCTGTTGATGGAGGATGAGAGAGATTGGGGTCCAACTCCATTTCGATTTCTAAATGCTTGGACCCTACATCCAAAGTTCAGGTCTTTTGTGGAGAATACGTGGCTAGAAGCTAATGTGGTGGGATGGGTTGGTTTCAAGTGTCTCCAGAAGCTCAAAATATTAAAACTGGCATTGAAGCAGTGGGATAAAGAAGTCTTTGGTGATGTGAAGCATAAACTTAATCAAGTTGAAGAGGAGATTCATGCACTTGATATAAGTGCTGAAGAAAGACCTTTATCTGAGGCAAAGCAAGCTAGAAGAAGATAGGCTAAAGGCGTAGCTTGGAAACTAAGTAAAATGGAGGAATGGACATGGTTACAAAAATCTAGAATCAAGTGGTCAACACAAGGAGACAGGAACACAAAATTTTTTCATATTATGGCCAACTCTAGGACAACCAGAAATTCTCTGTGCTCAATAGTAGTTAATGGAACTGTTAAGGAGGATCCTGTGGAGGTAAGAGCTGCAGTTCAGCAACATTTTATTAACCAATTTACTAAATCATGGCGCATTAAACCAAGGCTATCTGGGCTTTTCTTATCCATTGGGGGTAAAGATGTTGTCCAGCTCTTGGAAGCTGAGTTTTCAGAAGATGAGATTGAAGCTACGGTTAAAAGTTGTGAAGGAAACAAAGCACCTGGTCCGGATGGGTTTAATCTTATGATGTTTAAAAAGTGTTGGAAGGTGATCAGGGCAGATGTACTGCAATTCATGAAGGAATTTCACCAAAATGCAAAACTGGTTAAAGGTATTAATAGTTCTTTTGTTGCTTTGATTGCTGAGAATGAGAACCCCTCTGGTTTGAATGATTACCGACCTATTAGCCTCATTGGATCTTTGTATAAAATTTTGGCAAAAGTATTAGCAAACAGAATCGAAACAGTGTTGCCTCGAATTATTAGTGTTACTCAATCAGCATTCATTGGGGGCAAAAACATCTTAGATGGGGTGTTGATAGCCCATGAGATTGTGGATGGCTGGAAGAAGAGTAGAAAGAGTGGCATTGTCCTAAAGCTAGACTTTGAAAGGGCTTATGACTCAAATCAATTGGAATTTCTTGTTTACTATGCTCTCAAATTTTGGCTTTGGGGCTAAATGGGTTAGTTGGATGACGAAGTGTGTCTCATCGGCCAGAGTTTCTATTTTGGTAAATGGTTCACCATCCTCAGAATTTAGCCCACAACGAGGCCTTAGACAAGGTGACCCTCTATCCCCCTTCCTCTTTAACATTGTGGCTGAGGGCCTAAATATCCTACTGGAAAGAGCAAATCAGATGGGGTTGATCAAAGGAGCAACAGTTGGATCAAGTGCATTTAGGATCACCCATCTGCAATTTGCAAATGACACAATTCTATTTGGTGAAGCTGATAGGGGGGAGGTTAATAACATAAAGAGGATCTTGAGATGTTTTGAAGTGTTGTCAGGCCTAAAAATTAACTACCACAAGAGTGTGGTGTGTGGAGTTGGGCTAACAGATGAAGCATCCAAGGAATTTGCTGATAAGTTCAATTGTCTACATCAAAGTTTGCCCCTGAAGTACTTAGGTCTCCCTCGGGGCGCAAGCCCAAGGTCAAAAAGAACCCGGCAGCCAGTGTTAGCCAAATGCGAACAAAGACTTGCTTCTTAGAAGAGAAGATTCCTCTCTTTTGCTGGTAGGGTGACTTTGATTAAATCTGCGTTGTCTAGCTTACCAATTTATTATCTATCTTTGTTCAAAATGCCAGCAGGGGTTGCTAAGGAATTTGTGTCAATTCAATCTAATTTTCTATGGGGAGGGGATGACTCTAGAAGGAAAATACATTTGGTCAAATGGAAGGTCATTTCAAAAAGCAAACAGCAGGGGGTTTTAGGGGTAAAAGGGATTAGACTTATAAATGATTGTCTCTTATTGAAATGGTGGTGGAGGTTTGGGGCTGAACCTAATGCTCTGTGGAAACAGGTGATTCATAACAAATACAATCAGGTGGGTGTTGGGTGGTGTCCAGAACCTGTTAATAACACTAGGAACTCAAGTACCTGGGCTGGCATTTTGGGTGTTGCTCGAACGAGACCTGATTTGGTGGAATTCTTTAAAGAAAACTCTGCTCCAGTGATTGGGGATGGAAAAAGCACTTTGTTGTGGAGAGGTGCATGGTGCAATAATGTGTGCATGATGGAAGCTTTCCCTAGGCTCTATTCCTTGTCTATGGAGAAGTTTGAATCTGTGAATGTGATGCATCTTAGAAGGAATAGTGAGATGGAGTGGAACCTTAATTTCAGAAGATCACTCTTTTAGTGAGAGGTGGAGGATTTGAATAGATTGAAACTGCTGCTGATGAATGCTCTAGATCTTAGGAAAAATATGGCTGATTCTTTGCATTGGAAAGCAAACCCATCAGGAAACTTCACTGTTTCCTCTGCTTATAAGTGGTGTGATAATTCCTTACACACAGTGTGTAAGGTACCTTATCTTATATGGAATAATGTATCTTCACCTGGAGCTCAATTCTTTGGTTGGTTGGCATGGAAAGGAAAGATAAAGACTTCCAGTTTTTTGCACCGAATTAAAGTGCTCTCTGATGAGGCCAATGTGAATTGCATTTTTTGCAATGTGGAAGTGGAGAATGTCAATCATGTGCTTCTGCATTGCCCTTTTGCTTGGAAGGTTTGGTCACATATGCTAAATTGGTGGGGGTTGTTGTGGGTTCAACCTGATACTGTACATTGTTCATTAGAATGGTGGGCTGGTACAAGGATGAAAAAACAAGAGAGGGTGTTCTAGAAGGCCTTGCCTCTGGCTGTGCTTTGGTTCGTTTGGAAGCTGAGAAATGATTGCATTTTTAATGGCATTCATCCAAATTTTGAGGAGCTGTGTGAGGTCATTAAAGTGCAAGTTGCGATCTGGAGCAAAGCTGCTGGCTCTTCTTTCTCAGGGTTTTCAGTAACTGATATTGTGAACAACCTGCAACAAGTAAGGTTCTGCAGTAGGGGTATTGGCTGAGTAAAGATGTTTGTTGCTGTCCTGTCCTTCATGCTGCTATTTTTTTTTTTTTTTTGTTTGGTTAGTATTTACATTGGTGATGATTGAGATGACCTTCAACTTTGGATTGTGACCTTGTGTTTGCTGCTATTTTTCTGGAGTATGGTCTGCATCACTGTGAAGCTTCCTGCATTAGTCCATCATCCAATTCATTGTTCTTCTTGGCAACAGGATTGTACTTCTACTCTAAGGCATCAGTTTTTGGGAGGTGTATGCTTTGGTCAGTGGCCTGGAGCTTGGTATTCTGCTGTATATTGCTCTGTTTTGGCCTTGGTTTCTCTGGAGTGGGGTTGCATTGGTATGAGGTCTGCTGGTTTTGCATTAGCATGAGGTCTGGGAACTGTATGCACTGGAATTTGTTAGAATATGAGGGCGAACTGAGCAGGCCAGCTGCTGTGATGGTGCATGTTGGCGGTGGTGGTAGTGGTCTGCTAGACTGAAAGGGGAGTTTGTTGGTGGTTCTAGGAGTGGTCTACTGGACTGATGCAGAGGGGAGTTTGTTGGTGGACTATTTTGGTTTTTTTCTGTGTATCTTCTGGTTGTTCTCTCTTCAACCTTGAGGTGTGCTGGTAAATGATTGGGCTTTCCTCGCGGTGCCAACCTTGTTGGGATCGTGCGGTTTGCTTTGATGCCTTTTGCACTTCCTCTTCCTTTTGTTGATGTAATTCCTGTTTGGCAATTTTCATCAATAAAGGGTTGCTTTTTTGCTGTTCAAAAAAAATAAATTGCAATATATAAACTACACGAGGAATTCATGGATGAATTGTGTCCCACACATCAAAGAGCAATCAAATCATGGGAGTAAAGAAACACTGTGTGTTGTTCTTTGTAGATACAAACACTTTTCAAGTCACTGTGCTTACTGATGGACTTGTGAATTTCATTGAGGAGACAAGAACTATCAAACATGGTTTCTAGTACCAAAATCAACCAGACAACTTTTCATGGTTTCCAACTCATATGTTCTTTTTTTGCCTGATGGTTTGCTTTAGTTGTTAGATGCAAAACAAGTAATATGTCAAAGTTTTTCTGTTATCAAAAATTTATGGCTCCCTATCACAAATACTCACAACCATTTATTGGAATATTTGAGAATCTTAAAATGTAAAAATCTCTAAACAAATAGATTTGGAACAAAAGATACTGTACAATACTAATTTTTAGAGTAATGGAAGTTGCCTAATTTGACACTTTTGCTGCCAAATTTACATCCAACTTTGAGATTAATTCACAAGTTTTTAAGTACATGGCCAAAGTTTAAGATTGGTATAATTTCCAAATTATGGATAAACATTTTTGTAGAAATGGCAAGTTTGCAAACTTTTTTATTTTGTTTATTTTTTTATGACAATGAATGTCTTTAAGGCATAATCCTTTGAACTTAATCTTACAAATTAATTTCAAATACTTGCATTTATCCATAAAGAGTAGACATTTGTTATGTCTAGAACACACCAATAAGAATTGAACCCGGACATTGGAGTTTATAACCATTTATTTGTCTATTATTATAAAAATAAGGGCTTGTCATATGTTTACAAGTTTCTTCATCTTAGCCTAATCTCATTAGTGTAGGTCTCTAAATTTCCACATTCTAATAATCAAGGTGAGATTCATGTACGCCTAAGGGCTAGCCTAGTTGGTCAATGGGTTTGCACTCCACGTGCTCAACTTAGGGTTCAACCCCTCCTGTTGTTTGTATCAAATTTTCTTTAAGAGGTCTGTCGATAAGCTAGTACATGAAAGATGGTAACAGATCACAAATGACTCATGATTGTTTATGTAAAGGACACATGGCAAGTCAAGTCATGGGGAAAAGTATGATAATTAAAGGCAATTATCAAATTGAAGCACATTGTGAAACTGTAGAAAGACTAAATCACATATTCTCATTACACCAACTCAACTATTTATATACTCAACTAATACATCACTCACATGTGAGAATACATCACTCTGATTGAGATTATATTTAAACTAATGAGAATACGTACACAGATTATCTGTGTATGTATCAGTTTAGATTACCCAATCTCAGAATACATATTAATTAAATTTAAACTAAATCTTCGCCACTATATCTAAACTAATTACCCAATCACAGATTACCCATTCAATTTAATCCATTTAAATGTAAACTCATTCATGTGTTACTAGGCTTAGTGTAAACCCAATCTGTAAACTGAAGATTCAGTTTATAGTTTAATTGTAAACCCCATCTTCAGTTCAAATGTAAACTCAATCTGAAAATACATACACAGGTAATCTCAATCTCAGCATACATACAGAGATCAGATAATCTGTGTATGTAAATTTCATACACAGATTTACATAAATAATGACGAGTAGAATACATGAGAGAGAAAATTTCAATGAAAATAATCAGAATACATGAGGTTAGATAGACAATCAATGGATTAGGGCTTTGAAACTAATAAGAGAGAGGAAAAAAAAGGGGAAAGATATCAAATCCTAAAATCAAACCCATTTACAACATCAAACCCATAAAACTCTAGTAATGAAACCACTTCAAACAAACCCATTTCAAAAATTAAGAAAAAATTAACCGGAATGGGTAGAATAAAAATCCTAGAGCAAGAGTTCACATTTGAGGAAATAGAAGAAGGGGTAGAGAGAGAGAGAGAGAGAGAGAGAGAGGGATAAAGAGAGTGCGACCGAGCAAGAGAGTGAAAGGGAGCGAACCTGTTAGTGGCAGTGGCTGTGGTGATTTTCGTCGTATGGGGAATGATGGTGGTGAGGTTGCAAGGTCGTGAGGTTTGCTGGTGATTTGCGCAGCAGATCGACAAAGCAAAAGATGTTCTATGGTTCTGTATACAAAGAGAGGCAAAATGTGTGAGATAGGTGCAAAAATAATCTAAAACATTTAAAGTTTTAGCGACTAATGTTTTTGTTAGTCACCAAAACTGAATCATTGGCAATGTCTACTTGAATATGATTTGCTGCCAATTGGCGACTAACAATTATTTTGTTGGCAAGAGGTATACAACACCGACTAAAAGCCTAAAATATACACTATCAGCGACTAAACATTTTTAGTAGCCTATTATGGAATATTCAGCGACAAAACACTACAACATGAAAACTTTTCGCGACCAATTATTTTGGTCTCTAAAACCATTATTTTGGTCTCTAAATAGTGTTGTGACAAAATTAAATTCATCACTAAAAAAGTCACTAAAAGTGTGTCTAGAAAAGTCTTTAGCGACAAATTTTCAAAAATGTCACTAAAAATGACAATTAGCGACCAATTTTATATTGTCACAATATGTTTGATTTTGCAAAACTAAACTATTTCATCGCTAATACTTTGTCACAAAATGTCTCCATTTGGTCGCAAAAAACAAAATAGTGAACTTATAACAACAATTATACTTGGTCGCAAAAAGCAAAATGGTGACCTTTTTAACAACAATTATATTTGGTCGCTAAAGGTTTGAAATAACATTTTGAAAACATTCAATTTCATAGCTACAAATTGACATCACAACCCAAATCTATCTCAGTATTAAAAAAAAAAAAAAAAAAAAAAAAAAAAAAAAAGAAGGATCAAATCTTGCACACAAGATCAAATTTATTTTTGTATATACAAAAAACAAATTACAAAAATCAAAACTCTAAGTATCCAAATTCACTTCAACATAGCTCATTATATGAGTAAAATACCAAAACAAGATCAAATTAGTTCAACATTATATGAGTTAGAACACTGACAACTTCAACTTTGTCTTTCTCTCGCACCACCTCTTCACTAGTTCAGTTACAAGAGCAACATGCCCTAAACAATTAGTTGTTCCATGACCACAAAAGCTTATTACCGTCTATAGTCATAGAGAAAGGATGAAAATCCTGCACACATGATCATAATCACAAGTGTAAACAAAGTTCAAAAATGTAAAAGAGATGTAGATGAAATCCAAAAATGGATATCAACGTTGAAGAACTTAACTAAGGCATTTGAAGCAAATAAAAGTTTAGATTTTTGGGGCAAATTAAAAGAAAAATTTTTTTAAAAAAAAATATTTGACTTCTATTACAAGTGTAGCATTATCAGCAGCCCAAGTACAAGCAGCCTACACAAGAGCTGCAGCCTCAACACAAGTGTGTGCAACTACATTACAAGTGTGTTCAATAATTAAATCTAATTTGTAGCATATGCAAAGGTATCAACTTCTGTTATCAATTTCAGCATTTATTTTATAAGGAATAATTTTAATATTTAAAATTCAAAACATTACCTAATACGTCTTATCATCCCATAATTGACACAGGTATCGCCACACCTCTTTTTCGATATTCTTCATGTGGGTTTGCAAGGGCTAATTCCAAATTAATATGGTTTCATCATATCACCACGAAGAAAGCAACATAATGATTTTAATTCATGCAAAAAGGATTTAAATTTATTACCGACTAGGCAATCCAGGATACATAATACTCCATCCACTTAAAACTATGTGCTGGTAGAGCTGCGAAAAATAAAACAAATTAGGGGTTAAAAATACTTGAAAATAAATTCAAATACATTACAAAGTGTATATTGTACAAGGCATGAAGTGGTCACATGATATAGAAAAAATCTATATAGCAAGACAAGTGTATCTTCATCAAAGTTGTAGGATATATAAGTCATTGTTATAACTATTAAGATTGATAATACTAAATGCTTTTAAGTAAAAAATATAAGAATTATTGCTAACAAAATGACCTACATACCATCATTCGATTATTAATGTCCATTTCCTAAATACAACGAAATACCATGTCAGCCATTCCATCACCTTCGACATCTATGAGTTCCTGCAAGAAGAAAGCGATTCAAACTTCTACAAATTCCAACCTATCAAAGTATTATTAAAACTGTGTAACCTCATAGATCTAAAAATACTTCACTGAAATTAGCATTCTACATGTTGAGAATGCTCCAACAATGTTATAGTTGATGAGTTTTACTAAATATATTACCAATGATAAACCATGAGTCACAACTGATGAGTTTTACTCCTAATGGATAAGTTCTTTAATTTATCACAAGGTTCAATCCACAAAGTGAACCTTTATTATTCACATTATTAAGTTACTAAAAAAAACAACCATTTGATCCAAATGACACAAAGAATGGAACCCATTAATAGCAAATTACAATAAATCTCTTACGATAAGTAACATTAGCCAACTCCCCACCATAGCCAACGCAGAGGGAAAGAAAGAAAAAAAGAGAGAAAAAAGTACATAACAAGGGCACTTACATTTCTTCTTGTCAATTTGGAGCATGTCTACAATTCTTTGTAATGACACCATTATTATATTCGATGACCAAAAAAATACTATTATTATGTTCAAATATCTCCATGCTAAAAAAATAAATTAAATTTAATCAAATAAAAGAGAAAAATTGTGCATTCTGTTGCGGTAAAACAAAGTCAAATAATAAAGCATGGGTTGCCAAAGACTCCCTAAGTGGTTTCAATTGAACATCAACTCACACACAGAATACCCACCCCACCCCCAAAGAAAATAACTAATAGATAAATGAAGAAGAAGCTTAGAAAAATAATGTTCGATCTCATGAGAGAACCAAGTTCTGGAAGTACAGCAAATAAAGTAATTTCATTGACTCAAGAAAAATTGTCTTAGTCGTAAAGCATACCTGCAATATATTAAGGACAGTCCTGATTACATCTTCATCTTTCAAGAAATCCACACTATGGCGTGCCTGTCCTATAATTTCAACCCATTTCTGCACAGAAAAATGAAACCATAAGCCACTAGCCACCACAGAGACTAGCATGGGCTTGAACACATGCACATGCATTCCTGGAAGTAGCAGCACTTTTTATGTAAGCTTGCCTGATTTGGAAGCTCCATCAGCCTCTTCAAATATTCATCCCTCTTTTGAGGATCAGATTCTGCTTGAATCATATTGCCGACCTAAAACAGTACAACAGCAATTGTTACTTCACAACCACCCTTTATACAGTCTAATATTGGGGCATCAGACAAACATACTACATATATCAAAAAATCAGACAAACATAATGATTCATAAAATGAATGAATCTGATGGGGCTCAAGATCAACTATAGTTGTAGGAAGGCCTGTTAGAAGCTCAGATACAAATGGTTCGCTTTCTCCAAGCCAGAAACAATAGAAGAAAAGCATGACACATTCAAAGTTATATCTAATATGAAAAATTGACATTTGACCAACAAGATTAAAATAATGTTACATGTACAATAACAAATTTACGTTTGTACTTCTAAACAATTTTCAAGAATGTGTCGCAAGCCATATCCTGAAAGAATTATTACACAAAAATTTTAACTTTAGTAATTTACTTTTCTAAGATTAAAAGGTAAAATGCTGGCCATAGATGATGAACAAGACAAGAATGACAATACCCAATTAATGTAACACCACAAACTCCATGTATGTAACACCACAAACTCCATTTATGATATTAAGAAGGCTATCAAAGTAATTAACTAGAACAATTGAAACAATATAAACACTCCAAATTTTATAACAAAAACTAGAACATAATTAACAAGCCTAAAATAAACACATAGATAGGACACATTGTGTGGATTGCATAAGGAGCAAAAAGTAATTGCAATGCATACCATTAATATCATAAACAACATCAAAGCCTTCGGCTAAGAGACTAGCTTTCACAAATTCAATGTCCTTCCTATCTACTTTTAAGTGCAAGATCTACACTTAGAATACAATATTTCATTCCTCAACAAAGAAAAATATGAAATTGATCAAAAAGGGGAATAGAATTTTCCAGTGTATACGTCATAATTAATAACCTTGGAAGAAAAATCAACATAATCCTTCTCTGATTCACCAGGCAGTTGTTGGGTGATAGGAGCTTTTCCTCTTGTGAACAGAGTCACCTATATTATGACATAAATCTTGTTTATTAAAAAGTCAAAGACGTCATCAAATATAAATTTGTGTAGTAATTTGTCAACCCAATTTTAATTGCACACCATAAGGTGGAAAAGCTGGTTAAGAAAGTTAAAACAATTGGGAAAAGAAAATCAGTACATGTAAATGTTAAAATGTAAAGAGAAGAGTTCATACCTGGTGGCCTTCTTTTACAAGAAGTCTTGACAAAAACACACCAATAAACCGAGTCCCTCCCATTATCAGGATTTTCTTGGCACTTGATGCTGAAACGTGTAACGCTCCTTTTGGTTGCCATACCTTTCTTCTATACTGCATGAGATATGGATATTAATAAATTGAGAAATACATAAATTGCTTGAAACACTGAGTAGGACATGTGCAGTGTATGATTCTCAACTCCTATAACAAAAATCAAGCTAGATCTTGCTTTCGGAAGTAGAAAATTTTTCTTCCAAAACATGCCAACAAATGATGCCTAAATAAACCAACTAATTTGTTTGCTAATGAAACTGATGAGAGGCATTAACTTCATTAAGTTTTGAATAGATGCACACATCACATAGAGCTAACTTTGGTAGACAAAAATAAGCAAAATGTTCATGTGTCCAATTCTTTTTTGCTTATTTTAGTATTTTTGGATACAAATAAGCACACAGTGACAAAAGTGAGGAATCAAAGAGAGAGATTTCAGCTTGCCTTAATATTGTGATTTGTAAGTGTTAATGAAGACACATTTCCCTTGGAAAGAACAACTAAAGTCATTCTTTTTCCACTATGCTTTAACATAAATTCAATACCTGGTAGTCAGAGAGAAAGTATAGCAATAATAGCATTCAATACGCTATCGTTTCGAAATAGAAAGCAAATCTAAACACAAGTTTACCAAATTTGTCATGTATTTGCCTAATCAAGAACAAGAATCGCAAATTATGATCACAAGAAAAAGCAATAGCATTTAATACACTATCTTTTGAAAATAGAAAGAAAATCTAAACACAAGTTTATTTCACTGTATTTGCCTAAGAAAGTACAAGAATTGCAAGTTAAGCATCAATCACACATGCACTTAAACTATTTCAAGGGACGAAAAAGTTAAAGAAATTCTCTAAACCCAAAGTTAGTCCTTCCTAATGGCTTAAAAAAAAAAAAAAAAAAAATCAAAATCAAGAATTTCAAATCATGTTAAAAATAAAATAAAACAAAAAAAAATCTAGTAAAAATTTCCTTACATTGCACTCGTGGTCTCCATTTTGTTTACTATTTATCTAAACAGAGCTTAAATTTTCATACTGTTACTGCGCATCCATCAGCACTCACGCAAGTTCAAAATTGCTACAATCTTTGTTAAAAACTCAATATAGCTTGTAGGGCCGAGAAATACCTTGATAGAGAGTGAATGAACCAATTGATTTCCTCAAACTTGTAGAAATCGGCAAAAAATTTGAAGAAGATGAAGAATCAACCCATCGATTTCATGACATATATATGTGTGTGTGTGTGTGTTGGGAAAATGAAATTGATAGATATACTATATTGAAGCTTAAGATCTCTGTCATAGATATACCAAATACATTGATTTCGTCTTCGATTTTCTCACATCGAACAATACAGCTTGTAGGGCCAAGAAATACCTTGAGAGAGAGTCAATCAACCAATCGATTTCCTCAAACTCGCAGAAATCTACAGAAAATTTGAAGAAGATGAAGAATCAGTCCATCGATTTATGTGTGTGTGTGTGTGTGTGTGTGTGTGTTGGGAAAACGAAATTGATAGATATACCATATTGTAGCTTAAGATCTACCAGATACATTGATTTCATGATCTATTTATTTCCTCACATTGAATTTCAGCCAAGAGATGAGAGAGAGGAGCTCTTGAGCCGAGTGACAATCGTAAAATGATTTCATCCAAAAAAATTAAGAATCACAAAACTAGGGCAACACTGTTCATTTTAAGTTGCTTTTGTTTTTGTTTGGGACAAAACATTTGGTCCCTAAAAAGTCAATTCTATATTAGCAACCAAATTATTTCGTCTGTAAATAATTTATAGATATCAACGACGGAAATTTTTGAGAACCATATCAGATTGGATGTTAAAAGTGACTATTTCTACATTTTTATTTTAAATTTTGATTTTGTCCCTAAATGATTATTTTTAGTGACCAAATTCAATTGGTCCTTGAATATTTGTCTCTAAATCACTCATTTCTTGTAGTGAAAATATTGTTTGGTCGCCAATAAACTATATTTCTCGATTAAAAATCTTAGCAGCTATATTATTTGGTGACTAAAAATTGTTTTCATCGGCAATTGTTCAATAATTAGCGACTAAATAATGATTTAGTAGCCAATCGTGCCATTATTAGCAACTAAATTTATGTTTATCGCCGATAAGCAACATACATTGACAAAAAAACTTTAGTAGCTAAATCTTTTTATTTTTGCCGACTAATAAAATATTTAGTCACTAATTCCAACGCTTTTGGCGACAAAAAATTGTTTAGTCGCCCTTTTAGTCGCCAAAAGTGTCATAGTGGACTAATTTTCTCTTTATTTTTCGGATAAAAAAATTAAGGTATGTGTAGGAACTTATTTACTGATCGAACAAAAACAAAAAAAAAAAAAAAAAAAAAAAAAAAAACCCATATTTGATGAATTGCTAAAGGTGATAGCGTGATAGATAGTAGACACATGTGGAGGTAACTGACTAGAGAGTCACTAGAGCTCGCCGAAGGGTCACCAATAGTGTCAATGGTGCCCTACAGTGGGTGGTGGCTCAAGTTTGAAAGAGGGAGAGTGAAAATTTGTTTTGAAAAAATACATATGTTTTTTTGTTTTCAAAATTTAAAAAAACAATTGAAATTAATTTTGCTTTTTTTTTCTTTTACAATAAAAATCATATACAAACATATCATTATAACAAAGAAATTTTCAAAATTAAAGAGTGTGTGGGTAATTTTTTGACCACACTGCCAAACAGGTACCCAGCTGGAGAGCACCAGCAGAATAGATTAAACCCGAACGATCTGCAACAGAAAGAAGAGTTTCCGGCGGTGGCTCGTCCACCCGTGGGTACTCCGACAATCAAGTCAGTACTCAATATCTCTCAAAGATAACCAATAGTGCTTAACTCACTATTCAGAACACAAAAAGCATATCTTAGACCCATGGGGGTGCCAATCCTAGTCCCAATAGAAGCCTAGCTCTAATAAACTTAGGATTACTGCTAATCTTGGACTCCTAGTAGGTTTAGGATAAACTCTCTAAGAGTCTTATCTTAATCCAAACTGAAGTCTTCTCCCATTCTAGGACTCTTGTCCTTTATCCGCTTATCTCGAATTCCGACATCTTCGCAGATAACCTCGACTTAGCCAAGATAATCTTGGCATCATGACCATGACACGTGGCACCTCGGCTGGCACTTCAGTGACACCTCGGCCACGTGTTGTCATTCAAAAATTATGTCCCCACAACTGTCCCCTAGGTTCTATTACCTCGGCATCCTGAGGTGATAGAACCTATATCATTCCTTCCTTTAATCATGACCCCGGTTTAACTTCAACTTGTAAACTTTTCTCAAGTTTCAACAAGTGTTAAACATCATCTCGGTTTAACTTTAACTTGTAAACTTTTCTCAAGTTTCAACAAGTGTTAAACATCATCTCGGTTTAACTTCAACTTGTAAACTTTTCTCAAGTTTCAACAAGTGTTAAAAATCATCTCGGTAAACTCTTCTCTTCTCGGACTTAATCATCTTAGCCGAGATCTTGTCTTCTGGGATCTGGGATTCGAGATCTGAAATTTGGGATCGGCTTACTTGGACTGAACTCTTGTCTTCTCATATCCAGTGTTATCTCGGCTTGACAGGTGAGGTCACCTCGGCATCTTGTCGCTTTCTCTGGAGGTAATCCCTCAGATCCTCTTTGGTTCGTCCAGGAGCTCAGCTATCTCTGGATTTCAGCCTCTTTGGTGCACTACTTCCTGTGTCATTGCGAGTCCTTTTGGACCTCCCTCCATTGGTCGCGTCGAAACAGAGGTCCTTCCCCTGAACATGCCGATGTTCTTTGGAGTCAGCTTCCTTGGTGCGATGTGTCCTCTGTGAATCTCCCATTCTTGATTCTCCTCGTCTGACCTCCCTTGAAGGCCGGTGAGAATGTTCCTTGGTCCTATCGTGCTGAGGAGTCGTAGGAGTTGTCTTCTGCCCCCCTGCCTGGGCATCTTTCTTGGCTGCTGGAATCGGCGTATCTTGTGATGGGAACGGTGGCTGCATGACGTTGTTCTGTATCATGAAATTGACAACCGTTTGCAGGTCCACTAATTTGTTTGCTATTCCTTTCATCTCGTCGTCCCGTCGTAAGCATCTTTCTTTCCATTCCTGGAGGTCGTTCTCGTTATAATACTCGCTTCGGTCTGATTTCTTCGGCACGTCGCCCTCCTGGCCGACGTCCTCTTCTCCGTGATTCTTATCACGAGTTTCTTCGGTGTAGTTGTCTTTTTTGACGCCAAGGTCAATATGTTTCCCACTCTCAGTAGGGGTGTCGTCCCCAACCTTCTCTTTCGGTCTGTCGTTGGCCATCTATTCTCCTTTCGTTCCCACAGACGGCGCCAAATTGTGTAGGTGATTTTCTGACCACACTGCCAAATAGGTACCCAGCTGGAGAGCACCAGCAGAATAGATTAAGCCCGAACGACCTGCAACAGAAAGAAGAGTTTCGGCGGTGGCTCGTCCACCCGGGGGTACTCCGACGATCAAGCCATTACTCAATATCTCTCAAAGATAACCAATAGTGCTTAACTCACTATTCAGAATACAAAAAGTATATCTTAGACCCATGGGGGTACATCTCTTTTATAGCAAACTCAATCCTAGTCCCAATAAAAGCTTAGCTCTAATGGACTTAGGATTACTGCTAATCTTGGACTCCCAGTAGGTTTAGGATAAACTCTCTAAGAGTCTTATCTTAATTCAAACTGAAGTCTTCTCCCATTCTAGGTCTCTTGTCCCTTATTCGCTTATCTCGGATTCCGACATTTTCGTAGATAACCTCGGCTTAGCCAAGATAATCTCGGCATCATGACCATGACATGTGGCACCTCGGTTGGCATTTCGGTGACACCTCGGCCACGTGTTGTCATTCAAAAATTATGTCCCCACAAAGAGAATTCAAACAAATACAAGGAAAATAATACCCAGAAGAAAATTTTGGTCAAGGGTTCTGGCCAATTGATTGCTGCGTTGGTTAAAGGTACATTTAAGGTGAGAAACTAAAATCACTAACACTAGGAATTCGAAAAACGAACACATAGAATCAGACACAAAAACATATGAACGATCAAGATTACATAATGGAATCCCCTTCTGAAAAATCATGTCACTACAAAAAAATTGACATTTTGCGACAAAGTCGTCATACAACTTATTTTTTGTTGATTAACTTATATGTTGTTTGAAATGTAATGACATTTTTTTTTAATGAATAATGTTCACTACAAAAAAATTGACTTTTTGCGACGGTAAAATACCGTCGCTAATACTCCTAATGCCGTCGCTAATACTTTTTGCGACGGCAAGAGATGGGTCGCAACTGCAGGGGTTGCAAAAGAGTTTTTGCGACGGTAAGTGCCGTCGCTAATGTTTTGCGGCGGTATTTTTTACCTTTTTGCGACGGCACCGTGTAGTCGCTAATAACGTTTGAAATTTCTTGACTTTTTTGCGACGGTCTTATTTTACCGTCGCTAAAAATGTTATTTGAGACGGCAAAAAACACCGTCGCTAATAGTCTTTTTCTTTAAAAAAAAACACTGTTTTTGCGACAGTGTGGTGCCGTCGCAAAAAGTATAAAAAATATAAAATTTTTTATTTTTTTGCGACAGTGTAATGCCGTCGCAAAAAATATTAAAAAATAATAAAATTTTTATTTTAAATAATAAAATTTCTATTTTTTGCGACAGTATAATGTCGTCACAAAAAGTAAAACCTATAACAAAATTAATAAAAATATTAAAA